CTAGAATAAAACTCTATGAAGGTAGGAGATATTTATTGTGTTCACTGACACATTATCAGAACCTAGAATATGTCTGGAATATGACAGTTGCTCAACAGATACATTTTGATCAAAAATTCTACAGCACTCTAGCAGGTGTGGAATGTCTTTGAGATCTTACAGTATGTTAAGGATACATAAACGAAGTGCAATCAGTCAGACAGCCGTCTCAACTCTTTCCTACAGCTCTCTGCGGCAGATACCCTATTGAAAGAGACCCAGGCCCTCCCTAGTGACTTACATAGGAGGGTAGGAGGTGGTGTTCTTCACAAAGCTCCAGGGCTCTGCAGGCTGTGGTGGAGCAAACCTCAGGGATCCAAGAGGAGGCTTGGCAAAGGGGACTCCCAGGAAGACGGCCACAGGTTGTGCGAATCCTTCTAAGGTGACATACTTCCCCAGGACTTTGCCATGGACAGTGTCCACCATGGGTGGTGAGGACAGGTGCTCTGATGATCATGGAATAGAAATAAAAATATACCAAAAGGGATATCGTGTTTTCTGCTTTTATGCATGTGGCCACGAATAAGCTACCATAGCTATGTAGGCGTCAATTGTTTCTAGCATAAAACTAGGGTGAGAAACACCATCCTTCCTAGTTCAGTGGGATGCCAGAAGGGGTAAACCAGAAAGGAAAACCAAAATGCATCCATCCCATGGAGGTCAGGAGATAGCTCAGTCAGTGAAATGTTTGATGGTATTAGATGCTGGGTGAGATGAACGCGAGGTGGACCCTTGCTTGTTACTTACTACTTATGCTCCTCACCACTGAATGGACCAAGAAAGTAACAAGTGTCAGTGAGAGAGTGAGGCAGAGGGATTGTGAGACAGGAGGAGGAAGAGAAGCCGAGGTAGGGGAGGCTAGTTTGCACCGTTCTTTGGAGCTTGTGGGCTGCCCTCACCTTAGCTCTGAGTGATTAAGTCAGATAGGTGGTAGGTTTAAGAACTTGGTACTGGAGATGGCTGGGGTACAGGTTGGATTAGCTGGATCCTGTGAGTCACAGCATCTAAAGATCTGCCAGGCTTTGTGTTTTAAAGCCTTAAATACAGAAAGCAAAATCCATGCTTATTGCAGGACAACTCAGAACCTCATTATACGTTCATGCCATTTGAGCGGTGGAGAAAGTAAGACTCATAGGACATGTAGTATCCCAGCATCAAGGGCCAAATTGTGCCATTTATTTCTGAATCAAGAGCTAGTGCTTGGCCATCAAACCATGTCTAGACTTTGTCTTCTTTCTGACCCTGAGACACTGTGGCAGATCTGAAACTGAGCGCAAGGCAGAATGAGAACAAATAAATCTGGAATAGAGCAGTCTTTTGGTGATGGAAGAAAACCAGAAGAAAACCCTGGAAATCTCACCCCAATTCCATCTTCAGGAAAACCATTCAGGATTCTTCCAATCCCTCGGTTTCCTCATTGGTAGCATGGCGATATTAGTGTCCGCTTAGCAAGGCTTCTCTGGGAAGTAAAGCCAGGCGACTGGAGTGCACATCTGGCACACAGCAAATGCTCTATGTGTTTACCTCCATCTGACATGAGTTGTAACCTTTGAACTCCTTTCTATATTTCCCATCCCAATTGTTCATCTTCCACCCTGGTTACTGGCATCTACCCGCTTCATGTTTGGAAGAGCATCACTGAGCTAACATAGGCCACAGTTAGTGATTTTGGCTCAGATGTTGCCTCTTTCAGCCCCTCTTGCACTTCCCCCTGGATTTCTACGCTGCTTCCTCCTTCCTTCTGCCACCACTTTGGTGGGTGTCCTCAGTTACGACTGTTTTCACGTTTTGGATTGGGCACTGTTACTCCTTTGTAACCTGGTTTCCTATAAAGACCTTCTAGGGCCATTGGCTGTGCTTTGGTAAGACCAATTTTGAATTATTATTTTGTTCTGACCGCACACATGAGTGGAGATGTTGATGTACTGTCTGTCTTCAAATGGGGGCCACTGGAGGAACATGAGACAGAAACATGTCATGTTCTGGGAAGGCTGCTCTGAGCTATTAGTCCCACCCAGGAGCTGCATAGGACAACATGTGATCCATGGCTGTCATCAAGAGTAGCAGTCAGCATCAGGACAGAGGGTCATGCTGGCTTTTATAGTGCCTCACCAAGTGGCACCAAGACAGGGGTGGAGCTGTGGGAGTTGGTGGAATGATTGTGCAGAAGCAGTCATGCATCCTCTTATACCCATCTCCACCTACCCCAGCCTAGGTCTGGGAGCTTCAAATGTGCCCCCAGGGTCTGTGTAGTAGAACAACTCACCAAAAGTCATGCAAGGGTTGAGGGATGCCAGGACCAGAGCAAAGAGCCACATGGTGGAAGGCCAGCTTCCCTGGGGCCCTGTGAAGTGGCCTCGAAGCTCTTCCGGTAGAGTATGTATGTCTCTCTCAGATGGTGAGGTCTTTTGACCTCAGTTATTCATGCACAGCCCAGTTGTCTCATCATGAGATGAAAGGTGCTCTAACTGTTCCACAAAGTTCCCAGGGGTCTGATGGCAATGCAGTCCAGGCCCAGCTCTTATAATTGGTTCCAGGCTCAACTATCAGATTACGGATGATCTCAAACTGGTCCATCAACTTCTTACATAAAGTCTCTCCCCGTGGCTCTCTAACATCATTCACCTAGAGGTCCTCAAAGGTAGGCACAACAAATGGCACCTTCAGAAGGGGCTCAGCTTTGGTCTGAGACCCCCCAGAAGGCTGGAAATTTTAGAGAAACTCACAGCTCCCGAGCTGCTGTCCTGGGAGTGTTGAACAAGTCTGCAATGTCCCTGGGCTAGTGGGTCAAGAAATTCTGTGTTCTCAAGTGTGCAACTGAAGCTAAATTTCACACAGTTCTCCTTCTGATGCCTAAATTATTTTTCATGTCCCTGCCATGTGGTCTAGCCTGGTGACATCTACTTCTACAGTCAGAAAACTCACTACTCTTTAGCATGTTTAGGAAGTATGTTCATATGTCAAACCAACTCCATCTCTCCTGTGACCTGAAAGACTTCTTCTTAGGATATAGGCTGTTTGCGCCTTTCCCTACTTCCACATGTTCCAGAGCAGACAGCAACACATTTGATATTGGTCTCTAGTTTTTGTTTTGTGTGTGTGTGTGTGTGTGTGTGTGTGTGTGTGTGTGTGTGTATCTTGCATACAAAAAATACTATGCAAGACCTATGTTAACACATACTGAGGACTGCCGAGTCTTGCTGGTGAATGGACTCTATTTGTATTCTATGATGATCCCGTTCCTCACAGTATCTGTTAACCTCATACTCACATAGCCCCCACATACTCTTTCACTATGTGTTTGGTACACCTGTCTCCTGCTTTCACCCATCTCTGTCTTTTCCAGTGCGTCCCCACTGGGACTGAATTCTAACCACCCCCTCCCCCGAGAAACTGTGCAGCTTTCTACTTGTGGAATAGAGGCCTTGCCTGAGATGTGGGGAACAGAAGAGAGCTTTCAATCATGAAGGAAGGGCCGCTGGCTTAGGACTTTTGTGTGACTGGGGTGGGGACAAGGAGAGCTTAGGAGGCTGGGATCTTATCCTGGCACCACGGAAGGAAGTGTTCAGGCGTTCTAATCAGCATCTCCAGATAAGGGGCTAGAGGGCAAGGCTATGGGTGAGGCTTAAAAGCCACCAACAGTCAAAGGTCAGGAAGTGGAGCCAGACTCCATATTACTCAGCACATAACTGGGTTGCGCTTTAAATCCCAGTCTCAAGATCTTTATTAGCTTTGTGTTTAAGGCATTTCTATTTAGTGGAATTATTCATAAGGAGGATCTACTCATTATTTTTCTGGATATTCATTTATTCCTTGCTCCTTTTTCCACATTAGCTTCCTTTGAGAATGACAATTCCATGTTATCTCCAACACTGAATTACTTGTAGACCTCTTTAAAATATTCCAATGCCTAGCAACATAAAAAAATTGTTAGCAGTTGTCTTTTTTTTACAGTATCACACTTTTAGATACTATATGTTATGTCTTAAAGCAGCTTCGTATAAAAATGGTACGTGACTATATGTTATTCTCTTCCATCTCTGACCTATTTTTTCCTATTTTCTTCAGCCTGCTCCCCTGCCCCTCACAGAGTCTCTCTCCATACTCTCCCTTTCTACTACAAGTAGACTTCGGGTAGATGGGACCTGGTATCTGCTGACTCAGTGGCAGTATCTGAGGACAGTCTCTTCAACTCCAACCTAATCCCAATCTTAGGGAGAACTTGTGTCCCCAGTCTTAGGGTGGGGTCTTCTCAGCAATCCTGCCTCTCTCTGGTACTGAAAGATCTCTAATAAGTTCCCCCAGGACCTCTAAGGGGCATAGACCAGCACAGCTTCCTTGGCCTGAGTGGGCATTCACCAGAGCTCTGGGAAGAGAAGATTCCATCCTTATTTTGCAGCGGTTGTAGGATTTTGTTTCTTCACATAAAAGAGGTTTTGTAGTGTTGTGTGCTGGACCCTTAAAGATAGGCTTAGTCTAGCCTTGCTATCTGCTGTCATTCTTGCTCGTGAACACCTGGTGGAAGGCCATGGAGAAGAGTCTGTGAATGATGCAATCTCCCCCCCGGGGTTTGCAGTTGTCATGGGGGGGGGTGTTATACTCCCACACTGGCCAAGAGGCCATTAGCACTGTACTGTGACAATGTCGCCGACTTGGTGGTAAACCATAAGGCAATAATTCACATCCCACCTTCCCTCCAATCAGCTGTCTTTCTTCAGATTTCCGCAACCATTGCCCAAACCTTTCCCTAAAGGGTGTCTTCCTATGTCAGCATCTTTCTTCATCTTCCTGTCCCCAATGATGATGGATTCATCTGTGGCCCAAGACACAACTCCTGATTTGACTTCCAAAAGAAAATTTATTTTTCACATTGAGGTACAAATATTTCCCCTTCTTGGTCACTACCATCCCCTACTATCCAATCCTGCATTTTCTTCTGTAAGATTCATCTTTCCTGAGCAACATCTTTTGTAGAATAGTCCCATCTTGGCTCTTTTGGTCCTGAGACTGGCAGAGAGCCCATTCATAGCTCAGTGTGTACTGTCTGAGGTGACTTCTTAGCCAGGAGCTCAGACCAGAAAGCCACTTCCTCCCCTTTCAGTCTCTGGGCTTGTTGGGTGGTGGCTCCAATCTGCAGGTACCCTTCCTTCAGGTCATATCCTGGCCAGTGTGGTAACTCCTTCCCATTGGGGTTCCTGGGAACAGAATCAAAGAGAATTCCTCAGAAGTGCTATGTGGTCCTCCATTCCTCGCTGGAGAGACTAACAACTTCTACAGAAAACAAGCTTACATTGTTTGTGACAGCCCATCGATTCTAGAAAACTCTATAGAGTGCTATAGTCACACAGAATGGTCAGAGCTTTGTCACTGTGACTTTAGAAGTCATTCTTTCCAACAGGTATGCCCAACCATACCCTGTCTTCCCTTTCACATTTGCCCCGAGCCTCACCCATTGCGTGCAAAGTTGGCCCAGAATTTCATCACCATCTTGCTGAGCTTGGTCTCCTCTTCTGAGGCGCCCTCTATGGGGAAGGGAAAAATGATTTTGTTACTTTAAGTGTGGACCAGATGGAACATCATCTTGGGCTTTGTTAGAAGTGGTCATTCTTCAACCACTCAGTCAAACACTTCAATGTGAGAAGATCCTGGCTCTTACTGTGTACATTTGTGGGGAGAGACTGATATACGATTCAGTGTGGGAATGTGTGTGCCATGAGACAGCTGCCTTTGCTGTCCAAGTTCATCTGTCTTTCCCTCCTTCCTCAGGCTCAAAATGTCACATTGCAGGGTGTCCTCTGTTCTGGAGAATTGCTTCTGGGCCTTCTCTCAGTCACGCAAACACAGTATTATCCACAGGCTCTTAAAGACGTCAGAATTACAGTGGACTAAGTAGTATTCCAGCCAGGAAATGGCCAGGAGGAGCCATGTGGTGGGGTCATGAGCCTGTGAAAGTCCTGAGAGGTAAGGCTCTGAAGACATCTGTGATATTTCTTTAAATATCACTTTATTGGACTTGGGAGATGGGTTCAATGTGTCATGGCACTTGCCACCAAACCTGAGAATCTGAGTTGTATTACTGGAACTCACAGAAGAAGGTAGTGAACTATTCCCATAAGGCGTTCTCTCATCTCCAAAGGTACACACACACACACACACACACACACACACACACACACACTAATAATTATATCATATATTCCCTGGGAAATTACCACCTAATCTCCCTAGGAAAGGGAACTAGAATAGATAGTTATGGAAGGATGTATGCAGGGGCTGGAACGGGAGGATTAAATGAAAAAAGGGAGGAAAGGGGAAGAAAACAAGGAAGAAAATATGAGCAAATACAGTATTTGGAAATGCTGTATGGAAACCTAGTATAGTAGAAACTTCTTAAAATATATACATATAAGAATCCAATATAAATGAAATTACTGATAAGTAAGGGGAGACAGAGACCCATATGGCCATTTCTTGTCACAAAATGAAGTTTACAGTACTGGGATTGGGTTACATCTAATTGAGATATTGGTCAGAGAGGTCCCACAGGAAATCCCAAATGGCCAGGCTATAAGTTGCTCTCCACAGACAGATTTGTGGCTCCATTGCTGAAGACATCACCTATACAATGCATTGAACCTGGATAAGTCAAGCTGGTGCCTACAAGAGACTTTACCCCTACATTCTAGTGCCTTTGGTATAGGAAGGTCCTCTAGACACTTCCAGAGGAACAATAGAAACACCAAGCTAGTCATGATCCCTTTGATCTACAATGGTGACCTGCAAGATGACATAAGGCTTGTGGAAGCAATCAACCAACATCTGATTTGACTTAAGGCCCATGCCAGGAGGTAGAACCTATGCCTGACACTGTTGGAATGATCAAGTACCTAAGAATATATAGCCCAGGGACATAGGGCAAAGCCAAATAATAGTTGTGTTGTAAAAAATTAATAAACAAATAACAATAAAAATGCAGCAATAACATGACTTCTATGACATTCTGCCACACTCATAGAGCAGCAACTTGTTCAGCCATCGCCAAAGAGGCTTTATCCTGCTGAAGATGGGAACGCATACAGAAACCCACAGCCAGACGTTAAGCAGAGTTGTTTTGTGGGAAATCAAATTGTGGTATCCTAGTCCTAGTCGGGGCCTCATGGGTGGTCCACCACCTCTCTTAATGGTGCCACAGGTCAGATTCAGAGAATGACCATGACTGGGACACTTCAGCCATCTTCCATGTGTGTTAGAACAGGAGAAAGGTTGGGAACTGCCTAATGTAGTTCAGCGGTGTGTAGTAGGGAGTGGTGGGCTGCTTTTCATCCCGCCCAGCTCCTGGCTGCCTGGCTAGCTTTGCCCCCAAAATAATTACAAGGAAACTGTATTCTTTTAAACACTGCCTGGCCCATTGTCTCCAGCTCCTTATTGGCTAACTTTCACATATTGATTCAACCCATTTCTAATAATCTGTATGTCACCACGAGCTCATGGCTTACCAGGAAAGATTCAGCATGTCTGACCCTGCAGCTTCATGGCGGTGGCTCTCTGCCTCTGCCTGACTCTGCTTCTTTCTCCCAGCATTCTGTTCTGTCTACTCCACCTATCTAAGTTGCTGTCCTATCAAAAGCCAAGGCAGTTTCTTTATTAACCAATGAAAGTAACAAATAGACAGATGATCCTCCTATATCAGTGGTGCTGTAGAGGGCCAGGAAATTAGTACAGGAGAAACGAAATTGTTGAAGGTCCCCAAACCAAGACTGGAACCCAGTCCTTTTGACACCCAGGCCACACCTAATATAAAGTCATTACCTTTTAAAAATGGAGCCCCCAATACAGAGAATATTTCATCACCGTGATCTCCCATCACCGTCTTGGGTCTCGTGCCAGATATGAAGCTTGGGCGGTACTGAAATTCATACATGTAGGTAGGAACTCCGGCATCTGAGGAGATATGAATTCGTGCACAATTCATGTTACCAGAGGGACCCCTGGGTGGCACTGGGGGTCTCCAGCCCTGAAGGAAACTACTGGTTCCTAGAACAGGACAGAAGCAGCTTCTGAAAAGCCCAGGGACTTGATTGTGGTTGTACAGCAATGTGAGGTGACCTGGCATCCGAGCCAGGCGTCTATGGGATGTAGAATGAGCAGAAGTAATGCAGACAGCGATGCTGGGGTGTATTCAGTGATAATACACAGTGCCTGCTCATTCTGAGAAAACCAGCACCTGGTCGGCCTGGTTTGGAGCATCCCCAGTGTTTCCCTCAATCATTCAGCATGCAAACCCAAGTTACTGGTTGGGATATGAGGATATTTAAACATAATCACATATAAATATATACAAAGACAGAAATCTGCCTTTGGGTTTCAGGAAAATTTGATGAACATAGGGCATCACTGGAAGTGATTCTCGTGGTAGTCACGCTGTGAAAGTCTTACGAAAGCACATAAGAAAAATAAAGGATTCAAAACGTGTAAGAAAACCATCCAGTCATCTGAAACAGGGCAAGAGAGGGAGGCAGAAAGAGAGTATTTAAAAAACCATCAGAAAACATCTGAAGTGATTGGCATTAGTAAGTCCTTGCCTATCAATAATCCCCTTCAATATAAATTCTCCAGTAAAGGGGCATGCAGTGACTGAATGGATTTTTATAAGACCCGAGTTTCTGCGGTCTTAAAACAAACCCCCACAATGTTTTAAGATCTACACAGGCTGTATATGAGGGGAAATCAGATATTATACACAAAGGAGAAAAAGAGAGGATTATAGCTACCTCAAAATTAAAGCAAAAAGGTATAAAAAGAAAAAATAAAGGTGATATATGTTTATGAGAAGTCAATTCACCAATGGAATATAAAGACAGATCTAATGCAATGCACATAAACATATAAAACAAATCTTAAGTAGTAAAGCATCTGGAGGGAGAGGGAGAGAGAAAGACAGAGACAGGAGAGAGAGAGGGGGGGGGAGGGAGAGAGAGAGAGAGAGAGAGAGAGAATGAATATAATACCAATGTAGTAGTACCCCACTTTCAACAATGATCAGGTCACATAGACAGAAGATTCATAAATAAATAAAACCCTGAAGGTGAACAAAGATTTTAGACCAAGGCCATGATGGAGCTAAGGAATAGGTAGAATAGTCCACAGTTTATCCCAACAGAATGTACATTTCTTTTTAAAAATTGTTTTATTGAGCTATATATTTTTCTCCCCTCTCTTCTCTTTCTCTCTCCTCCCCTTCTGCCCTCTTCCATGATCCCCATATTCCCAATTTACTCAGGAGATCTTGTCTTTTTCTGCTTCCCATGTATGATATGGGATTCTCCTCTGTATGCTGTGAATATCATTGGTCAATGAAGAAAATGGCTTGGCCTGATAGGGTAGAACAGAGTTAGACAGGGAAAACTAAACTGAATGCTGGAGAAAGAAGGCAGAATCAGGGAGAATCCATGGAGCTGCTGGTAAGCCACAGCCACGTGGTGATATACAGATTAATAGAGATGGGTTAGTTTAAGATATAAGCGTTAGCCAGAAATACACTTTAGCTATTGGCCAAACGATATTGCAAATAATATGGTTTATGTGTGGTTATTTTGGGGTTGAGCAGCGAGGAACAAACAAGTGGCCTCATACAACACATGTAGATTAAACAGAATGTCCATTCTTTCCCAGCACCCACAGAAAATAGAACACACATAGGTGCAAGAGAATCTTGCTTAATTTAGGAGGACCTATGTGTAACCTCACCCTCCATCTGTCCAGGCCTAAGACAGTGACAGACTGCCCCTGGTAGATATCAGCCCTGTTCTCACCTTTCACCTTCTCCAACCAGTGAGCACCAAGTTGGATAAAGGATTACCAAAGAAACTGAAGATCTTTACACTTCCTTTTTGTATACTTCTTTCTACTCTGTCTTTTTGGACTTTCTCATCTGGAAAAAGATCTTCCCCACCCCAATCTTCTTTCTGACTCTGGATTTTCATTCTTTTTGTTGACTTAATTTTGTAAGAAATTGTTTTGTGTAACCCAGGCTGGCATCGAACTCCCTATGTAGCCAAAGAAGATCTAACTTTCCTTCCCCACCTCCCAAGTACTGAAATTACAAACATGAACCACTGAGTCTGACTTCTTTAGTGTTCACAGCTGAACTGAGGGCGTCCTGAATTCTAGCCAGGCACTCTACTAATTGAGCATCATCCTAGCGTCGCAAACTATGTGTGCGTTTGTATATGTATGCGCATATGTGTGTGTGTATGTATGTGCATATGTGTGTGTGTGCGTGACTGAGAAGTGGGTAAGTCAGAGACTTGTTATTGAGTCTACATCCTCCCATTCAACATATAAGACTCACCTCTGAGGCCACGGGCCATGAGAACAGATGGGATACCAAAAATTACATCTCCAAACAAGTCCAGGAGACGGTCTTTCTTTTTGACAGGGTCGTCTGTTTGTCCCAAATACTTCTCAGTGACTGCGGGAATCATATTCTCAGAGATGTTCTGAAACAGATCAGAAAGTGACCACTCGCACCTGGTAATCACTGAGGCTTCTGCAGACAGTTAAGAAGACATTCATTGCTCACGAACCACCTGGGCTCTGTGCCAAACCAGCTGGTTATACCAGGGAGGATTCTCTAGACCCACTTAGGATATGTCATTGAGTTTGGAGGCCAGGCATCTGAAAATTACGCCTTCAATTGGCCGTTGTGGAAAAGGTCTTTGTGCCTGGTACCACATGGCAGCTTGGCAACTGTTGTCTAGGGAATGCGACCTCCAGCTGTTTCCAGAGAAAAATGCTTTGCTCCGTCTCCTGTGGAGAGACGTAAACCTTCAGGTCTCTTCCCCTGTTCTCTAAGGGAGAGACACCCTTTGCACCCTAGCAAATAACATTAGAATAAGCTATTCCTAGGAAATGAAACGAAAAAAGACACAGCTTCTGAGATTTTCTAATCAGCAATTATCTTGTTTTAGATTTACAGAACCCAGAATGTCTATATGGTGATCTACTGACAACGGAAGCCCATGCATCAGAAAAGCGGTGTGGGGGGGGGACCTGCAATCTGTGATTGTCACAGTGCCCACCTATCCGATATGCCTCCTAACTACTAGGTCTTAGGCCTCCAATGTATACATCTGATCGTCTTTGTTCATCATGGAATCTTTTCTGAATATAAAACTCTCCAAATAAATGTTTCTCCTGGCAACTTGTCCTGGACCCCTCGCTGGGGTTTTTGACTGGTGAACAATGAATGTCGGTTTATTACACCCAGGTGCACAGTGGAAGAGTAGAGAGGTAGGGAGTGAACCGCAGCCACCACGACTGCTTACAGCCATTGAATCCATCTGTGGTTGAAGCAAGACACTGACCTTTGCTTCCCAACCAATTCCCATGATTCCCTAGAGCCTTACAAGGGCAGAGCGGAACTTCCACAGGAGGGAGCTGGCTGTTTTCTCATCCATTTTGTCTTCAGAGAATAGCTCACCCATCATCTGTTAAACAAATGGCAAAACGTTTGAGATTCCCAGAAAATGATGAAGAATTCAACAGATCAACCAAACAAACCAAATGGACAAAGGTGCTTGGTGTGTGAGGGGTGATAATAGATATGGGAGTGTGTGATTCTGAAAAATAAAGTTGACAAACAGAGCAAACGGAGCTACATGAAGAAATCTAAGCATCACAGAGAGGCCAATCAAGTGAGTGCATTTATTTCACCGGGAGGCAGAATGACCCTCCAGGCAGTGGAGCATTCAGGCCAGGGTTGTGGAGAAGTCAGGGGCTCAAGAACAGGGGACACAGGTCACACCTCTTTAGACTCAGGTGACAGGGGAAGCATTATATTTGTATGCCTGTCTCCCTGTGATGGCCCCTGAAGTCTTCTGTGTGAGAGGTACAGAATTCGGGGATGTGTTGACTTGTTCAAGTTTGCACTCAGAGCTTTGGTCTGGTTTCAGCATGTCTCCTAGCAGTGAAAGTCACATCTCAGGCTGATGCCAAGACTCCAAGATGCCTGCTTGAGAGAGCTCAGCATTGTCAATGGAAAGCTTGGGTGATAGGAAATGGTGCGAGATGGATCTTGGCGGGTGGATCCAAACCAGGCTGGTGAGGGATAAACAAGCCGTGTGGGCAGAGCTTGGGTGGGGTTATGTGAGCCGTTTTATAAGAAAAGAAAGTGGGTGAAGGGAAGGAAGAGGGGAGAGAGAAAGGTGGTAGTTCAGAGAGGCCTCTGTTGCGGGGGGGGGGGGGGGAGAGAGAGAGAGAGAGAGAGAGAGAGAGAGAGAGAAAGAGAAAGAGAGGTGGGAGTGTGACAGGAGCAAGGAAGAGAAAGAAGAGGAAGAAGTAGAAGGAGAACCACCTTTTAAAGGGACTGGTACTGCCTGCCATGCAGGGGTGATGTACTTTGCCGGGTCCCCAAAAGTTAGGGCCAGGTGTGCTTGGATGCAAACAGTAGGAGAACAGGCCCTGAGCCCCTCTTCGGTAGTTACTTTAGAATGCTTCCAATTACTGATCCCTCCTCTGCCCCGTGTGATGTAAATTGGCACTCTGAATGGCTTCATCAGGGACTCTCAGTGCAAATTTAACTTGAAAAGTTTTATGCATCTTTGAAATGGAGTCAAAGCTGGGTGCATAACCCTTGATCAGAGCAGGGAGGATGATGGATGAGCCCCTGTGGAGTGCAAGCAAGAGGTCTATACATTCTCACCATTGGGATGATCCAGCCAAACTCTTGCTTGTTGATGCCCACCATGTAGGGGACAGTGTTGAAGTTCTTCTCAGCCAGGATCTCTTTTGGTGTTTTTGGCAGGAAAACTCCATCAACCACAGTGGTCAGGGAGTTACTTTCCTGGGGGAAAATAGAAATAGAGTGCTTATGAATACCCTACCGTACGCTTCCTCCATCTGAGAGTTTGCCAAGCATAAACCTGTATCGCTTTGACCACAGAAAACAAATATCCTAAGATCAATGGTTGAGACGAGGAGTCTTCAAGTTTGGAACTGTGAGTGGCTGTCATCAGTGGTAATGTGATGGCGGGAGGGAATTGAGGAGAGAATTCTATTAATGAGACCAACTGCATCTGTCTATCCATATCTAAATCTGGGTGCTTTGGGGAATATGCTTGGCTTTGAGGCATTGGACTTATTCCTCGAGGTGCCTTGTTCTTATTTAGAGAAATAAAAGACCGCAACAAGCACCAGCCCAACAACAGTGAATCCCACCTAGGTGCAATCACTGCCACCTCACAAAAGCTGAGTAGTGAAGAGGGCTTGCTCTAGGGTCTGGCAGGAGGAGCTGAAGGAAGTAGACATGCTGGCTACAAGAAGCTGGTCTTTTTGATGTCTGGAGTGGAATCTTTGCAAGAACACTGTGGTCAATGAAGAGAAGAATGGGTCTTTTTCAGCAGCAGGGAGGGAATGGACCAGTAACAAAGGAGACTGTGTACAGGGCTAATCCCAGGAAAGTCACAGAGGCCTGGACTTGGGGGGGGGCTTCTCTGGGAGAGTATTAGAGAGAGGACCAGAGGGTGGGATTATTTTTTCCCATATATGACCCATTTTTATTTACATTTGACTAAAATTCGTTGATTAACACACTACATTTTCATTATCCATTCTTCTGCTGATAGACAGACGTGTGATTCCATTTCTTTGACATTATGAACAGCAAAGCAATAACTAGATGTGTGCAGGCAGAAAAACAACAAAAAATTGTTTGAAAACTTTCATAATAAAACTTATTTCTTTGTAATGCATGTTACAATATATATATATTGTATGTATATATATATATATATTGTATGTATATATATATGGCTTTAAGAACCTAGGGTCACCTGAGAAGGGAATCACAATTAGAGAATTGTAGAGATCATATTGGCTTGTGGGCATGTCTGTGGAGGAATGTTTCCTTTGCCTAATGTGGGCAGCTCCGTTCCCTGGGAACACATCCTAAGTTATCTAGCAAAGCTAGCTACGCATGAGCCTTCCTGTGAGCCCGCCAGCAGCCTTCCTCCATGGCTTCCGCTGGACTGATTTTCTTGACCGACCAGGTCTGCTTGAATTCCTGCCATGACTCCTGTCAGTGATGGACTGTGGCCTAGAGGTGTCACACAAATAAACCCTTTCCCCCACCAAGCTGATTTGGATCCGAGTGCTTTAATTACAGCAACAGAAAGGAAAGTAAACCAGAAATCTATAAGGCACCTTCCTGGCACTCAGGGCTGTTTTGTGGGTACTACCTCAATGGAGGCAAGGGAATGATTTCTGCGAGCAAAGTCAGGCTTGTCAGAAGGGAAATGGCGGGGTCTAACTTGTATTCTCAAGGAGAAATGAAGTGAGGAGGAAAGGTAGAGGCAGAAAACTTCCAGAAGAGAGACATAAGGGCCAGCATGGATCGGCACCTGGGATTCTAAGCAAGCTACCAGCAACTGTGAGGCCCACAAGAAGTGGCACTGCTGCCCGGGAATACTGATAGCTGTACTTCCAGAACAAGCGCTTTGCCTTTTTGAGAAGCCAGAGGTATTGTTCCCTCTTCTGACAGCTTGCTTGTCAATACGTCCAGTGAGACGTTCCTTCCCGACGATCTGCACTCCAGCCACGCCTCATCACTCCACTGCTCTGGCCCTGATGGGATCCACAGGATCCCTGCAGGGCAGTCTTCCTACCCACTCTCCTGGGCCTTCCTGCCCCTGGTTGTACAATGCATTTCTACATTTTACTCAGTGTATGGCTTATAGCTGTAATACCGACATTTGCGGAGCTGAGGTAGGAGGGTCACAAATTTCCAGGCTACACAGTAGGGCCTTGGAATCAAAACAGTTAGAAACAGGGCATTTAAAAAAAGGAACACTGTTCAGAGCCCTCTGATCATCTCGCTCATGGTGAGTCATAATTCAACCTTTTTAGTTGAAACTGCGCCTCCTACCTCTGTGGCTTCCTCAGGTCTGATCCTTCCTCACATCCTCTACCCTAAATTTCTCCTGCTTCAGATCTAGGGAGGCACAGACCTTCATCTGTTTCAATGTTTTAGCTCAGCTGTGAATCAGCTCCCACCACACAGTAAAACCTGACTGAAAGACTCTCATTTTATCCTCACGGGGTCTTTAGGGAATGTCTGTGATCTCCAGGGAGGGAGAGAGGACAAGACTGTAGATGCTCACAGCTAATGACAGCAGACACGCGCCAGTGCTGGGAGGTGTCAGGGCAGGAGGGAGGAGGCTGTGGGCACTGTCTGTTTGTTTCCTGGGTCATGTGCGGACGTGGTGTCCTCACAGCTGAATGTCTTAGGCTCCTCACTGCATAATGCCAGCCCTGTACCGTCGCTGGTTATCTCAGCTTCCTGATCCTGGAGGTTCGGTGCAATTTTCTCCCAGCAGGCCATCTGGTAGTGAGAACCATGAGGAGAGCTGGGGCCAGGGGGATAACGTTGCTGACTAAGAGCACTGTAGAGCGAGTCAGGTAGCCCTACCTCTGGTCCATTTGCCTGTTTTAACTGCCCAATGGTTTCTCTTGGAGCCGTGGGGGAAACCCTTCATCCATAGTTTACTAGAATATAATGCTTTCAAGATGCAACATCAGTAACCCAGAAGAAACTCCTTACCTCTCCGTGGTCTCCATCGTCATCTGACTCTAAAGGATTCTGTGAATACAAAGGTAAAGAACGCATTGAGAAACTAACCCCTACAAAAGGTCGCCCTCTGATCTGCACCCTGGGGTACCACTTTCTCCCACCTGAGTCTTACATGGGATTCTTAAGTATGAACACGGAATATAACAGGATGGGAATACTGAATAAGGTCTCCACAGCCCCTGATCCAGGTGTGATATGAGCCTTCTGCTCCTAACTTTATAGCTACTTGAGGATTCTGTTCAGGGGTTATATTTAGGAACATATACATATATACAAGCAAACCTATGCACGTAACTACAATTGGTGGAAAAAGAGGCCATGCATTTTAATGAGAGCATGGAAAGGTATATGGAGGAGCTTAGAAGGAGGAAAGGGAAGGAAGAAATAGACTGAAATTATAATCTCAAAAATAAACAGAAAGTAGATTACCTAAAGATGCATGCTAGAGAATTTCCATGATATTTGTTTTAAATAAATCCTAATAAAAATGACAAAGAGAAAAAATACTGTGTTCAGGAATTCTTGGAGAGTGTTCTAATCTTGCTTAATAAAATGTGGGTGCCCTAAAGTTCAGTTACCCTTTCTTTCTGCATATCCCTTCCTTTGTTGTGTCAGTAATATTTCAGTGTTGATAATGCTGCATGTTGGCCATTGGTTCCCTCAAATATGGGGAAGTCACTGCTGCTACCCTTCACTGTGGGTTAAATCTTTACCAGCCAAGGAAGCATTATCTGTGTATATGTGAACACACGCACATGTATGTATGTCATGTGTATATGTGTATGTGTGATAGGGCAGTGAATAATCATAAAAGCACTTCTCCAAGATCTCAGACAGTCTCAGATTGTGCTGGAACCTTAGGTCTCTGAGTTTCTGAAAATCATCAGCTATTCCTACATCATATGGTTGTCCTATACACATAGAGAACACTTGAAATATTGGATGGCTTCTTGTATTAGCAAATAACTCTTTTAAGTCTATGAAAGTGTTGTGTTCCTTTTATGAACTTTATGACCAAAGCTCCAAGGCCATAGCAATGTAAGCCATGGATATTCAGAAAGAACACAAGGCTAGAACTTGCCCAAGAGACCCAGCAGTATTTTGGAGTGACCATGATTTATATAGAAAAGGCAAGGGCTCAGATGACTACTGGGCTTATACCAACTCCTCTTTCACAAAAGTGGCAGTCCTCGCGGTCCTGAATGGAGGAAGAGGAAGCCCACATAATGGGAGAGAATTTTTGCCGGTCTGACATTAGGAAAAGTATTCAAATTATAAAAAATACTCCAAAAATAGTGAGTTTACAAAACAAATGACTCATTAAAAAATGAGCCTGGGACCTGAATGGGAAAGAGAGAGAGATAGAGAGAGAGAGAGAGACAGAGAGAGAGAGACAGAGAGACAGAGAGAGAGAGACAGAGAGAGAGAGAGAAAGAGAGAGAGAGAGAGAGAGAGAGAGAGAGAGAGAGAGAAATATATTTAAAAATGTTTGTCTTTAGGTAAATGAAAATCCAAACAACATTAATATTTCATTTTACCCCAGTCAGGATAGGAAAGATTAAAAGAACAACCAAGAATAATTGTTGGAGAGAATGTGGAGATTCCAAACTGTTGCAACCAGTATGGAAGTGAGTGTGGAGAATTCCCCAAAAAACTAAATATAAACCCCCACATGATCTTGTTATACCCCTACTTAGCATATGCCCAGTACTCTGTCAGCCATGTTCATTGCTGCTCTAGTGACACTAGCCAAAAAAGGGCACAACCTACATGTCCTTCTACTGACAAATGGATACTGAAAATGGGGTACATATACACTACAGAATACTATTCTGCTGTAAAGAAAAATGAACTCATCAACTTTGTAGGTAAATGGTTGGAGCTAGACAAGATCACATTTAATAAGTTAGCCCAGATGCAGAAAGACAAGGGTCACATGTTTTTTTCTCACTGGAGGATCCTAGCTCTGAATCCTCAGATGGGAATACATAATTTGGAGTAGCCACAGAAACCAACAAAGTAAAGCAGGATAGGGGGTTTGGGAAAGGAATAGAGAAGGGAAAAGCAGGGTACAAGTGATCTGGTCAGGAAAATGGGAAAGACGAGGCCTCTAGGGAGGGGGAGAAAATTAAATATGAAAGAAAGGGGGTGGGTCAAGGGGAAGAGCAAGACACAAATGACTGAAAAGAATATGGAAAAAGGGAGATCTTTAGGGAGAGGAGGGAGTTTAATACAGAAGAAAGTGGGAGGGGGATAAATTAAGAATAAGGACATCTGAAAAAGTCACAAACTATACCATTAACTATTTATTCCCCCAAATCTTATAAAACATTCTGTATATACATTATAAAAAATTCTGTGTGTAAATACACACGTGAAATTTTCATGATGTTTCTCTCATCTGTGCTGCTAGTACTTTCTTCAAAGACTATCTAGCAGAAACGTCAATATCAGATATGAGACGACCTCTTTTGAGTTGTTGGCCATGGTTATTCAAGAGACTCCCAAAACATAGAACCTATAGCTATTGCTCCTGGTTGCCATCCCCTCCCCAGAGGTGGAAGGTAACCTCCTATTGCTGAAGACACCATGAACTTCAGACACAGGGCCCAGAGAACCCTGGTCTGGATCTGACCTGAATGCCTCCTTCTGAGGATTAGCTTTTATGGTACCCAAAGGTGCCATGCAAACTTCCAAAGGAGGAAGGCAACCAACAGTCCCATCCACCCTATGAACCACATCAATGAGCAGCATGGTATAATAGCTCTAAGGGTGCAGTAGTGGCACACAGGCCTAAGCAGTAACCAACAGCTCTCTAACTGGACTTATCTCCTGCTTAAAAGGAGAAAGCTGTGCCTGGTACTGGAAAACTGGCTAACTACTTACGCAGTGCTCGTGAGTCATGATTATTGTGAGAGAGTCTACCACTGAAACTTTATTAAACCAGCATGATCCCTAACAGCAATTTATAAACATGTATCCTTATACCCACAAATAAGTGTAATCCTCATAGCACATCATGAAAACTTCCTTCTCTTTGCAATAGATGGAGATCAGTACAGAAAATCACAAAAATCAAAGGCAGAGTTCTGGGGCCTAGTCTCAATGGATATATCTACAAAATACTCCTGCATTTCAGGCTCAGGAACATTGTAGACAAGAATTCAAAAGATTTTGAGAGTAAGAGGATCAGGGAGTTTGCTGTGAGATAGTGCATCATAGTAATGTAAGAAGATACACTCATAAAATCTCACTAACGTGATTGTCCAAACATGGGCTCAACAAAGAGGATACCAACAGACACAGCCAAGTTGATGGCAAAATCCTATGAGGGCTAAACACTACTTGTGACTGAGGAAAGCAGTATGCCAAGTTATTGAACAGTTAAAATGTCAGCCTAGACACCATACATGGAAGTAAAATATATGGACTAAGCAAGTTATATTTAGGAATATATATATATATCCATATATATATATGTGTGTATGTGTGTGTGTGTAGGTATTTATATGCATATATGCATTCATTAACAAATGATAAAAAGGCTCTAAGGAATATGAATGAGGAGGAGCATATGGGAAAATTTGAAGAGAGAAAATGGAAAATGTAATTATATAAATCTCAAAAATAACTCTGATGTGCATATACTTGACTCAGGTTATTGGCTATATTTTCAGGAATCTGGATTGTCATATTGAATAAAGAATGTGACAAGAATGTTTGAAAAGCTAGTTTGGAAGATTTCCATGCAATTCTTTGTCATGGAATGAATATATTATTAGACTACCTTTTGACATTTGGGTGAGGAGGCCGACACTCTACCTGAGAGCTGAGAAACTGTCCCCTTAGAGTTTATCCAGGGCAAGAACAACAGAATAGATGGGGTTTAGGGCCAAGGACTCAGAATGGAGGGAACTGGAATGGTCACATGTACCAAATTCAGTGCGATCCCCAAGAGTTCATTCTCTGTCTTCTGGCGCAGGCAGTGAACCATGACAGCTGAGGTGGTGGTTTTACACCCAGAAACAGTAGCAATTAGCTGAAAAAGACCACAGGCAACAGCAGAAGTCAAGAGCAATGAGTATATCCTTCATCTATGTAGACAGTGGATTCTAGACAGTACCCCATTTTCTTCTTATTCTTGTCCTCCTCCTCTTCATTATCCTTCTCTCTCCTTCTCCCCCGACTCCTTCCTCTCTTTTTTTCTTTCAGCTACCTTATTTTTTTGTTTGTTTAATTTTGTGATAGGGTCTCTCTAAGTATCCCCGACTGGCCCAGGACTTAGAATATAGACAAGGGTGGCCTCAGTTTTGGCTCAGTTCTTCTTCTACTGCAGCTTCCCCAGGTACTTGGATTATAGTCATGTATCATCATATCTGGCTTGCACACTCAGTCTCTGAATGTAAGAGACAGTTTGTAACATCTCTAAATCAACAGTTCTCAACTTGTTGGGTGTAACCCTTTGGGTCAATTTGTAACAGTGAACATACAGCCTGCACATCAGATATTTACATTATGATTCACATCAGTAGCAAAATCAGGGTATGAAGTGGCAAGGAAAATAATTTGATGACTGGGGTCACCACAACGTGAAGAGCTACATTAAAGGGCTGCAGCATTAGGAGGGTTAAGAGTCATTGCTCTAAATTACCAGATGTAGAGAGTGAATCCCACAGAATATTGCCTCTATTACTAATTGGAAGAATGACATGTCCTGTTTACATAATCAGTACTTGTACCCCATGTCCAAATAATGGGTACAGAGTCCAGGTCAAGTACCATGTACACACACACACACACACACACACACACACACACACACACACCCTGGCACAATGATCTTCAACTTGAATGCGTCTAAAGGGGCAATTTGAAATGAAGGATAAAGTTTCACTGGTTTTAAATAGTACTTCTTCCACTTCTAAATAGTTGGCCTCAGATGAGCTACAGAAACTCTTCCTGTTCCTTTTTTCTGGGCAGAATCACTAGGTATCTGAGTAACGCGACTCATATTAAGGGACTTCAGAACTTGCAGGATGTGTCTTAGCTGTGAGCCCAAAGCAGCTCTTCTGCCAAGCCATTCTTCCTGTTAGAACTGTTTGCTTTCCTAAGCTGCATCTCCCAGCCAGAAAGGCCAGTGAGGACCCAAAGGGAGCTCAGAGAAAGTGCAGGGGTTGTCCAGGTTGGCACCTACTTCAGTCACAGACCGGGTGTTCTTCTTGACCAGACCATCACTGAGGATCACACCACTCTCGGAAATGGCTCTGTGGAAGAGGTTCTTGGCCAGAGGAGACAGCACCTGACAGGGGAGAGGACTTTATGTTCACAAGATGGGTGTCATGGTTAACATTAAATTGAAAACAGATCCAGAATCACTGAGAGATAGACCTCATGCAAAGCTGTGAGGGAACTTCTATAGCAGCTAGGAATAGAAGTTGGAAGCCGCATCACAAGGGCAGCAGTGTTCTGTGCCCTGTAACTAGCAGTCTGCGCAATCTCTGGGCCTTCTGTTTACACGGGAGTGCTGACTCACTGGGTCATCAGCCCATGCCAAAGGCAACAAGGGATAAAAACAAACTATAGCTAAGTCCCAGATGTTTGGCCAAAGCCAAAGGGGACTTCCCCGTCTGCATCTCACTTGTCATGGTGCTGTGCAAGTTTCTGCGGATGAATTCTGCTGTCCTTGGAGAGGCACCACACTTGTTTGATTTCCTAACCCATGCTGAAAGACATGGCTTTGAAGATCTGAGTCCCCAGTGAGCTATGCCTTTGCATTCAGTTCTGATCTGCATCCTCTCTATGGATTCCATGTGACCAGTCACGTCAGCCCTTGCTGTCATGACTTCCCTGCCATGATAGCTGCATCCTTAAACTCCGAGTCAAAAGACTCTTCCTTAAGCTGCTTTTGTTGTGCATAAGTAGCTAATGCTGTGAATCATGACACTCCTGCCTTTCTCCTCTTTCCTGGTCATGCATGTGGTAACCCTGATGCTCCGCGGACATGACTGCTTCTCACCTGTCCTAGCCCAATGACCTGACAGATCTTTGTTTAGACATGCCCCAAGGGCAGCTCTGCCTGATGTGACTGGAGTTCAGAGTTAGAATCTGAATGGAATGACAACACACTACAAGTACCTACCAGGAGAAGTCCAACCTTCTGGAAAGACAAAGCCAACATGAAGCTTGGTAATACCTGACCATACAAACTTCTCTCTGTTGTTCAGAATTATCCTAAGACTAAAGATCGTGGAAGCCTGTGAGAATTTCTCAGGAAGCTCATGCATTTTTTTCACGTGGTAGAAAATGGAGTTATTCCAAGGTATCATTATCATAAAATTCAGTAGTTAGGACTCATTCTTACAATGCAAAATTATGAATTAGAGAAAGGTAGTAATGTGAAAGAGGGCTTACCATTAAGGAAATTATTTATGTTATGTTATGTAGAGATAAAAATAAAAGAGATTGCAGATGGAGGATGGATAAATGCATGCATGATAAATAGATGAAAAGAATAATATATATCATCTAGTATACACATATGTATATAAATGTATACACAGTTTTAGGGAAAGACTGAAAACATAATGTGACAATAGCCAAGTGATAGTCTCTCGGTATGTCATTACGGATGATTTTACTTTTCATTGGGCATTATAGAGATTTCTTTTTTCTTTACTTAAAAATTCTTCTTTGAGAATTCAAGTATGAAATCAGTGCTAGTTCCATTGCTGAATTTCTCCTTAACTTTGTGGAAGATAAGGTTTCTTGCAGCTTCCAGAACATCCTGCAATTTCCCTCACTGTTCCTATGGCTCAATTCCATGCACCAGTAAGACCCTTCACAGGTCCAGTTTATGCCTGCATCCTCTTCTCTACTCTGCCACATTGAGACTTCCATATCTCCTCCTTCATTTCTTCAATCCCTCGCATCCCTAAGATGCCTGTGCTTCCTTCTTAACTTCAAGGAAAGTCCCAGTCTAACCTTGGGCTTTGAATTCCCTTAATTTGTAGATGTGGCTTCAACCCAAGCAAGGACCCTTGGTTCAGCACATTGCTCCTCTTTTCCTATTTGTAGTCTATTCCTATCACTGCATCCCAGCGGAGACCTAATGCTAAAATTATTAGGAAAGAAAAAGGTATCCATCAAGTGAGAATAGAAGCTGGAGATTTTTATGGCTCCAGGACAAAAAAAAAATCAAATGGTAAGCTTATGAGCAAAAAAGAGTTAACTGCGTCTGAAGCTATCCACCACCTGATGTTGTGCAAACAGAGTCAACCTGAACATAGGTATTGGATGCAAAGGTGTTATGCTAGACTGGTTGCTTCGCAACAGGTCCCCTCAATGGACATATCAAACCCTAGTAAGAGATCTGATGCCAACAATACTTACAAGAACAGAGACACTCACACCTCCTGCTGATTCTCCAAATATGGTCACAGAACCTGGGTTCCCTCCGAAGTTTGCAATGTTATCCTGGACCCAGTGTAGTGCAGCCACCTGATCCAAGTGACCCCAGTTCCCAGGGCTGTGTTCATCGCCTGTGCTGCAAGATGACAGGGTGTAAGGGGGGGGGTACAGATGCCATGGCAGGACTCTCAAGAGCTAGGAAGGCCTGGAGAGGTTCAGTGAGCTTTTCAAAATCAGGTTGGATGCTGCAACTTTGACATGGGTAACTTTACTAGGCTGTCATCTCTGCTGTCTGTCTTCCAGCAAATATGTGCTGTACTGAGCTTCCATGATGTGTCCAACATTGTCCTAATATCTAGAGTATATCCCATTACAAGACAGACAAAATCTCCGACTATGTACAACTCACACTGCAGAGCTGAATCAAGTAGACTAGAAGGGAGAATGCCAGCTGGTGGAGAAAGACAATGTGATCAGTGTGGGGCTGTAGAGTGGTGTTTCAACTGGAAAACCTACCTGAAGCAGTAGCATTGTGAAATAGGAAGAAAGGAGTACATGGGTCTCATCAGTAATTGCAAAAGAATTTTAGCTAGGAGAAGCAGCAGATACAGAGGCCCAGACCATGGAAATAGATGTGTGAATGTAAGAAGTATGAGATGAAGGTCGACCAGAGATTTTGCAGGATTTTTCATGTCATTGTGAGTGGGGACCACTGTGCAGAGACATGGTAGGATGCTGTCATTGCCTCACAGAACACTCAGGCCATTGATTGGAGCAGCTATTGTGTTCAAACTACAGATTTAGAATCATCACTGATTATAGAAACTCTACATGTCAGAGACATCGGGCTTTGGTCATGATAATAGTGAAAAATAATAGTGGCTGTACAGTCCAGTGCTTGGTTCTTATCTCTACAATAAAGTCAGTACAAGCAGTGGAAGAATCTGAAAAGATGAAGTCAAGTGCATGGTGATTATGTCATTGTGTGCCACCCCCAAGAGGGATCTCTGTAGCCATCTTAGAACCTTGTTTGGTGTCCCAGGGGCGGTGTGTGTGTGTGTGTGTGTGTGTGTGTGTGTGTGTGTGTGTGAAAGTAGCCGTACTGTCTCTAATCACTCATAACTTCCCTTTTCATGTGATCTCTTCTGCATGCAAAAATATGATCTCTGTTCTCCTATGTTGCTTTCTGGCCAAGGGCTCACATTATAGGTCTTCCCCCCAATACTGGACTTGGACTCTCCCAAACTGTTTTCAATAAATCAGTATTCTTATATCTACCCAGCCTCAGTATTTGTTTATTAATAGAAAGAAAACCAAAGCAAAGACTAATAGGCAGAGAGGAAAATCTAGTATCCTACCTGAGTAATCCCCAAATACCAAGGCGATATTGAATCGTTACCACCACCACGTCTTCATGGGCAGAGAGAGCTAGTCCATCATATGTTGATGCCCCACCTACCATCAGTCCACCTCCATGGATCCACACCATCACCTGGATAATAATACAGACACACAAACAGTACATTGAAGACTGGGGAAGACTGCCACGTTCATCTTAATTGGTTGCCTGTATCTAGGCTGGGACTCCAGGTCATTGCCCAAACCACAGCAGCTCCTTGGAAGGCTACAAAAGGCTGACTCTCTTGTTTCCAACTCTCCAAGGTGAGGTCCAGGATGCTAGGCCACTCAGGACCCACTACCCTTCTTCTCATGTCTCACATCCTCCTAAGACACACAATTGAGATTATCTTGGTAACCATAAAGGCCCAAGGATGTTGTCATCAACTCACAGTCACATCAGTTCATGACAGGACCTTTCAGGCAATTGAACACGAACAGGGGCAGACTTCATATTTCAGCTTAAATTTTATCCCACTTAGCTCTTCAGTGGTGAACTAACCTCTTGATGGTGCATGATTGTCTGGTGAGACACTCACTGCCCTGATGCTGCCCCTTCCTAGAATGTCTGTTCTAACAATTCCTTCCATTGTGCTAAGGCCATCCCACATCCACTTCATTCAAGATGTCTTTGGTCATTTGGTTAACATAATCTCAGAATCCACAGTGTACCTGGCACTCCGATTAAGACTTGAAGAGAAGGGATGCAACAATTCACAATCCACATTCTTTTATTTAAATAGCACGTAGATCAATGTAGAAATGAGGGTGTACAAAATAATATTGTAATAAGATGAATTAAGGAGAAGATCCCATGGGCACTATGAACCAAGAATTGATCTATGCACTGTACATAACCTCTCATATGGTAAGGAATAATTCTGTCCTGTGTGACCAATAAGCAATGGAGGATAAACATTTTTTTCTGCTGAAAAACTACCACCAACTCAGGAGACAGGATAGGCTCAATTCTGGTGCTAGTTCCCAGCACCAGATGCTGAGCTGCCTAATCCCTGTAGCCCATAGCCACAGTGCAGTGAACCAGCTATTGGGTCAGGAGCCAGACCCTCCTGCAGGTCTAGCTAGCGTGTCAGCACAGCAGTGCAGACTCCGTCAGAACTGTGATGCAGCTTTCGAGTCAATGACCTTTTTCAGATAACAGTTCCCATGTAAGGAAACAGGCTGAGATTAAGAAAATGTTTTGATCTCTAATCTTTTCAAAGGAAAAGCCAGGATTTATACTTAGGCCTGGTGGCTCCGGAACCTGTTACCACAGCCATTGGTGTGTCTCCTGTTACCCTGATCTCAAGTCCCTGTTACCTCCTACGGGATCCCTGCAACCTCCAAGGAAGATGGAATCATGGACATCTAAGAGAGGAGGCTGAGTCCAAGGTGGTGTCTCCAAGAGGTTATGTATGCTATATCTATGTAGAGCAGTTGGAATGGTCCTTGAAAGCATAGCTGTGTGGGAATAGCCTAAATATTTCCTTTCTCTGCCTTTATTTGACGGTTTAGGCACCTGAACCTTTTGGTCCACATGGGGTTAAGGAAAACCTCCGGAGGTTTTACCTTATGGCCTACTCAAGTTCTTCCACTTCCTATTCCAACACTTGTGGCTGGCCTCCTGATAAAGGGTCTCAAAGGTCCAAGGATTAATGGAATTAATAGCAATTACTGACTCCTCCCAGAATGTCAGGAACAGAGATGCAAGTTCTCAGTGTGCACAAAGTCATTGCAGGCTCAGTTCAACCTCAGGCGTCTATTGCTGTTCACACTTTACTGATGAGGAACTGGAGGCAGAGAGAGGATTGTCCGCTGGCCCAAGGTCACACAGCCATGAACATCGTGTTAGGCAGAGATTAAACCAAGCAGATAATCAGCAACATCCTGGGTCTCTTTCCAGTGAGAAGGCCGGAAATGGGTGCCTGCTGGGATGCTCACTAAGAGATGCTGTGGTGTCACGGAGACTTTCCCCCATCCCCCATCTCTCTGTGACTGCTAGTACAGGTAACACCGAATCTTAGCATTTGTATCTGCAGCTCCCCCAATCCTGGGGTTCATGAAGAGGGCTTCTGGAAAATGTGTTGGGTGCTGACCTGTTACAACCCAGGGATTATCTTTTCCAGAAAATTCTCTCCCAACCTGTGACCTATATATTTCAGTCTTGCACTGTGCTTCTATGTGAAAGGCTGACTCACTTTGTCATTAGGCTGTGCCAAAGATAGCTAGACATGGAAACGGTCTACCATAAAATCCCAGGCTGCTGTCTTCAGGCAGGAAACATGTTTATAAGGTTGGTCTCGCATCCTCCCTCTCTATTCTATTGGACAATGCAAATTGTCACCTGACAATGAAAGTTGTTACAGGTGACCTGCGTACAAAGCTGCCACACATCTCCCGTTAGACGCCATCTAAGAGCACACACGTAATAACCAGGAGACCAGAGTATTGCGAGCATCCCTCCCATGTTCTTGTTTTCCCCCATCAGGACCTCAGTTTCTCCACCTGCATCATGTTGGGTTGTTCACTTTTCCCTCAAGATTCTTCCGAACTGTGACTATTTCGGAAATCACGGCTTAACGGCCACAGGGATAATCCTCTCTGAGATAAGATTAGCCATTCTTTTCCTTTCATCCTATGGTGACTTGGGAAAGCACATATCAGCTGTAGGGTGCTCTCTACCTAAGTCTGACATTACTGGAAACTCATGCAAGTATAAACCTGAAGGAAACTCTGCTGCCTGAGTCACTCCCTGCCTGTGTGCCCTTGACCGCTGCTGCCTCCATCCCCTTCTAATCCCAGGAAGGTCTACATGCTCACACTGAAAGTCTGGACCAATGGTCCTGGCACTTACAGGCAATCGGATGTTTTTTCTCAAGTCGGCCGGGGTGTATATATTCAGGTAGAGACAGTCTTCGGAAAACTTGAGAGGAATGCTCTCCTTCCTGTTGGTGAAAAGCTCCGAGAGCACCTGCCCGCCAACTGCATCCTGGGAGCACCTGGAGGGGAGAGAACGTCCCAGAGTCTACCAGACAGACTGCGCATGTCATCTGGGCCTGGCCACGCACCGAGAGGTTTGAGCCTAGGAAAGACGTTCCTGTTACTTTATTGGAGTCATTGCCATCGATGAGAGGTGGCAACCAGGATAATCCTAGGGTCTCTCAGTCCTATGAAGGGAGACACACTTGGTACCTCACTTCTTCCTGGAGATTATGGGATGCTCTGGACCAAGGAGAAAAGTGATTCTATGGTGACCTGCCCTAGGAGACATCATTTCCTGTGGTGCCTGGACAGAGCTTTGATCTTCTGGGGTTTGTATGGTGGTCTCTAGTTGACCATGTTGCTCCACCAGGTTCACATGCTGTAGCTCTCAGAAGATGTCCATCCACCAAGACAGGCAGCTACAACAACAGGCGGCTTTTGCAGGTTGAGGTGGGGCAGGGCATCTTTGTGGGAGAACCTCAGGCTAACTGGATTCTTGTCTTGTCTCAGACATGATGGGCTGGGTGGTGTGAGGTGATTTCCTTTTCTGCTCTGGCCCCAGGATTGCAGGGCCAGGTGGGGTGAGTAAAGTTTCTGAAGATCTTGCTGCCTCATCTGTCAAGGTTCAACATCCTCCTAGTTTAACAATTACTATCGATTTCTTGATAAAGGGTCTTAAAAAGAACAATGCAGCATGGGATTGACAGCAGCTACTGACTCCTCACAGAGTATCAGGAACAGATTCAAGCTCTCCATGTGTATAAAGCCATTTAAGAGTCAGCTCAGCCTCAAGCATCTATTATTATTTATTTCTTTATTATAAATTGTATTATTATTCTTTTATTAATGTTAATAAGTATTATTATATACAGGCAAGTAACTGAAGGCACAGGAAGGATTGACAATTGTCTCAAGGACACATAGCCAGGATGATCATATTAGGCAGTACTTATACTTCCAAGAAGGTAGTCAGAAACATTGTGGGTCCCTTTGCAATGAGAAGGCTGGATATCCCCATCCTTGTTGTGCAGGAGTGAGGCTGTGCATGTCACACAAACTGCAGAATTAGAACAGCTGGGACACCTAAGCCTCTATCCAGGGTAATAATGTTCCTTACATCACTGAGAGTTAGTGCACAATATTCATAAAAATATAAATTCAAATATCAAAGGAGGAAACATGAGTTCGTGTTCACTAATGTTTAGAAAATATAGTACAAAGATAAAGATTCTAATTATTATGGTCATGAACTCAATTTGTTTATTCAGTGCACACAGGAAAAATGTCACCAAGTAAGCCATGGCATGGGTAAGGGCCCAGGAATGGAGGTCTCCACGTTTGCAAGGGAGATCTCTACAGAGTCTGGTGGTTTCTTGAGTCAAATGTACCTAAAATTCATATTTTTGATAGGATTGTTACTTTTGGAAACTTATTCCCAAATAGTCATGATTGTGTGTAATGGTTTGGCTAGTGAGAATCCATCAAATTTTATTTATAGTTAAGAAAACCAAAGCACTTTAATGAGCCTATATATAAAATAAGGTAAATAAGTAAAGCTTCAGTACCAAGTTAAACACAGCTAATAAGTATTCAGCTGATATATATATATATGTATATACACATATATGTATATATATATGGTCTGAAATGATACAGATGTTTATGGAAAAGTCATGCTGTCACCCACACTCACTGTATCATGATCTCTGTTTAAAGCAGGGTACACACAGACAAAAGACTGGGAAGTATGATCTCAACTGCTAACAGCAGTTCTCTGAGTTGTTGAATTGCATGACTTTAACTTTCCTTCACTTCTGTGTATCTCCCTACTTTTTGTAATATTTATGTCTTGTTTTGCAAACATAATATAAACATAGTTAATACTATTGTAGAAGGAAAGCACAAAATGCTAAGAAGACAGCCAGGAGTGGGATCCTGGAATCCCCAGAGGCACCTTGCTATGGACACAAATGCTGTCTGAACTGACTTGTAGGTGTCTGAAGTTCTCTTCGGTGGCTGCAAGGCCATCTGTAATTCCTGAGCGTGTTCACCCAGTTGCCAGGGTGATGTGACACACCCTTGGTTGTTGCTTAGCTTGTGCGTATGCAGATGGGTGGACCTGGGTGCGAGAGTGGCAGCCACAGTCGCTGTTCTCGTCACCCACAAGCCCACACCCACCTCACTCCTGAGCAATGCCAAGGTTCAAATTAGGAGAATATGGCATTTTCTAGGCTCCCTCATCTGATCGATTACTGTTTTCCAAACCATTTAGCATATTCTAGCATCTTATGTCCTTGATGTACTAATCCACAAGTTTCTCATTTTCTCTTTCCACCAATAGGATAAAATTTCTAGGGTATGCATTTTTTTCCTCCGAAAGTTTCTGAAAACTCAGAACCTTCCTCATTTGACTCAGGTTCTGAACAAGTTATGTGCCAAATAAAAGGCTTGGGGAGCTATGAAAGTTCCTTAGTAACTAGATCATTTTTGAGGACCACACTAGTCTTATGTGCAACAGTAGCTGCTGCTAACACAGCTAGCTAGTCAGAGCAGTGCCTTGAAATCATCCTGGAGCACCCATTTTCCCTACCCCAGCGGCTTACATAGGCGGGTAGGAGGTGGCATTCTTCACGAAGCTCCAGGGCTCTGCAGGCTGTGGTGGAGCAAACCTCAGAGATCCAAGAGGAGGCTTGGCAAAGGGGACTCCCAGGAAGACGGCCACAGGCTGTGCGAATCCTTCTAAGCTGACGTACTTCCCCAAGACTTTGCCATGAACAGTGTTCACTATGGGTGGTGAGGACGGGTGCCCTGCTGGATAAGAAAGCATGAGAGCACATCAGAGGGGGAAAATAGGACCAATATAGATGATTGGATTTGCCACTTTAGACTGTGTCATTGAAACATACAAGGTCCCATTTCATTCTTACATGATACTATGAAAAAGAAAAATATCTTTGTCTAAGAAGGTCAACTGAAAAGTAAACTCATTGGAGGCATAAAAGTATCCAGTCTAAGCCACTACAGCAAGACAGTTATGGCACCGTTCTGTGCTTGCCCTGTATACATGCTCTGTCCAGGACAGATTTCCCAGCATGCATCTCAATGTGTATAATTCAGAAGAACTTACCCCTAACTGTGCAAACAGCAAGAGAAGCCCAGACCAGGGCACAGAGCCACATGGTTGAAGAACAAGAACTCTGGAGGCAGGGAGGTGCCTGCTGCTCAAAGAGAAAGTATTGTTCCTGTCTCTTTGCTGTAGGCCTGCCTCTAGACCAACTGGCACAATTATATAAATCTGTTCCTCCTCCAAAGAACTTCCTGTGTGTGTTCTGATTTCCAAGCCACACCCACTAACACTTTGCCTTTCTTTATCTGGAGTCCAGGACTCTCAGATTACAGGTAGCCAGGAACGCAGGCACCAACTTCTTATGTAAGCCTTCCTAACTGTTGCAGTCCCACTACAGTGCCACTTGAACTTCCCAGGGCAGTCACCAGCCAGCAGACGTCTGCAGGCAGTGAGCAGCCTTGACTTAGGATTCTCACTACAAACCTGAAAATTGAGAGCACTTCACTTTCCCAGCTGGGGAATTGGCACAGCCCCAGTTTCTCTGGACTGCTGTTTCCTAGAAGATATGCTCTCAGATTTGGAAGCTATCTCACTCTTAAAGAAGAGCCAGTTTCCAGGGGGCTAGGAGTCCATGATGGCAGAGCAGAAGCCTGGTAGCTAGCAGGATGGTTGGAACTTGGAGCAGCTGAGCGTTCGTAAACTGGAATGCAAGCTGGAAGCAGAGAAATGATGAGAATCTCTGCATTGTCAAAGCCTCCCTGAGTGACATATTTCTCATCACAAGGCTGCATCCCCTAAAAACCTTCAAACTGTACCACCAACCGAGCATCAAGTGTTCAAATGCCAAAATCTATGGGAACATTTTTCATACAAACCACTACAAAGTTCTTACAGTCAATAAACTCCACTGACCACAGTATTTTACACTAATCACCCATCTATGCGTTTATTTATGAATTCTTTCGTTCTGTAAGATTTTATTTATTTTTATTTTACGTATGAGTGTTTGCCTGCATGTATGTCTATGCACCACGTGTCTGTCATGGTCACAGAGGCTAGAAGAGGGCATCAGGACACCTGGGAATGGAGTTAAGGCTTGGGAATCAACATGTGGATCGTGAAAATTGAATAGTGTTCTCTAGAAAATTCCTCTTAAATGCTGAACCAATTCTGTAGCCCTTATCTGTGAATTTTTTAAAATTTCCAAAATGTTTGGAATTTACAGACACAGGAATGCCTCCAAGAGGAGAGAGAGAGAGAGAGAGAGAGAGAGAGAGAGAGAGAGAGAGAGAGAAAGAGAGAGAGAGAGAATATGTACAGTTTGATTTCTGATTGAATAACATGGCCTTGTCTCTGTTCTCATCCATAGCGGCCCCGGGGCCTTGGAGAGAAGTGTGTGTCTCTACTACAGTGCTGCCCTCTGCTGGACGTTTGGAAATTTTGTGGTGAAGAGTGGTGTGCTTAGAACGCTTTGTAGGACTCTGTTTAAGGAATCACGTCAAATACATTTTGGGGAACTGGAAAGTCTTGAGTGGAGAGAGAGAGAGAGAAGTGGTATCTGGAGTGGGGACAGGAGTAGTAAATAAAATAAGACTTAAAAAGGAAAAAAGAATTAAACTGCTTGTGGCTGAAGAGGCTGGCTCAGTGGTTAAGAGCCAGACCTCTGCTGCTAACATAGGGTCTAAGTTCTACACCCAGAATCCACGTTGGGCAACTCACAACTACATGTTACTCTAGCTCCAAGGAGTCTGACACCCTCTTTCTCTCTCCAAGGGCACTCGCATACACACACACACACACACACACACACACACACACACACACACACACACCGGTGGTCAAAGTCAAGTTGTTTATTTATAAGAACACAGCAACACCTTTTAGGTTTTACAATGACGACAAAGCAGCAGTGGCTGTAAGGTGATATGTGCAAACTGGTACACCTGAGTAATTTGGCTCTTTAGGAAAGTTGATGAAACAAAATGGTGGCCACGATCCTCCATCAGTCTCTCACTCTGACACATCAAGTAGTTCCGGTGTTCGTGCACGAAAGTGTCCTCCCGAGAGTTAAGGAAACCCAGGGCATGCAGGCAGAGTGTTTGCTTTCAGTATATGAGAAAACACTCTGAAGAAGCAGGGAGAGGATATGCAACCAAACCCAAGCACTCCAGAGTCCAGAGAGTCACCTGTCAACCCAGGAAGGCAGAGACACCTAAATCTAGTCCTTAAACTTGAAACAGTGTGCTTTTCCAACCCAGAGAATGCAGACATGTAGGAAGAGGAGAGACACAAACCTTACAATCCCAAGGGCAGTGACTTAGTCTCCCGTAGTGTGAAGGATGAGCGGGGCTATTTTCAGACAAACAGAAGTGAGAGGCCATGTCCCTACTAAATTTATGGCCTAAAACTTCTAAGGAAAATTTCAGCTGAAATGAAGATATGTTAAGGAGTAAGAAGAAAATGAAAACATGGGCAGAAATAAAAGAGATGGCTCAGAAATTGTTATACAAACAAACCCGAAAGTTCTAGTAGTATAAATTTTATATATAAATTATTCACATATTTACTATAAGAACTAAAAGCAAATTAATTGAAACAATATCTTCTTTCGTATGGTAAGCAAAATATAAGTTGATAAATCAAGAATTCAAACTGTTCAGAAGAATAGAGTATAGTGAGAAATTTTTAGGAATGTGTTTCTACTTCCCCTTTGTTTGATCTTTACTATCAAGTTTGTATTATTCCAAAAGATATGGACATAATCAAAATCTGCATTAATAACCCTCAAAGTAGCCACAAAAGCAAAATCTACAGAAGATGAACTCTGAGTAATTCGTGAGGAATCAGAATACTGTGGGTAAGATGGCACATGGTACAGCACTCAGGCAGCACGCCCTTCCTCCCAGCTCCTAGTTATCCCCAGTGCTCTCTGATATCACCCCCCCCACAAGCTGCACCCAAACCTTGTGTCAAGGCCTGCTTTCTTGGGACCAAACTCAAGATGCCTTGGGGGCATCTGTGACTCTGTTATTGGCTGTCTACAAATGAAGGGCTGTCATGTTCTCCTGCTGAGTTGGTCTTTTAATCATTACTCATGGTCCCACCTTTTCCTAAACTGTATGAATTTACCAACATTAACGTTGACACTGGATTTTCCTTCTGAGTATCGGTTGTGGCTAGTACCCTCCTTTTACTTTTAACTCATTTAGGCCTCAGTGTACTTGTATTTACATTGCTTTAGAAGCATCACTGATGCGCACACAATGCGCACACATTCGTGCTCCACAGGTACTGAAAGCAGTTTTCTTTCATGTGTTCTTGAGCTTTGTTTGTGAGGGGCAGGACAGGCCTTGTAAGCAGGTCCAACATGCCTTAGAAGGGACACTGGCCAGAGCGCTCTCTGTGGTTAAGGAGGGAGCGTTTGCATGTTTTGCTGACACCAAAGTAAGAACCTGTCTTGCTCACTGACTTTTCTAGAATAGTGGCAAAGGGATAAAGGAGTAGGGAGAGCAAAGGCCATAAACAATCAGGTATCAAAAGTGGAGTCAGACTCAGTAGATGTTACATCACTGGGTCACAAGAGGGTAATAAAACACCATTTGGAACAGCCTTGACATTTCCCAATTCTTAGATAACAGAACACTTCATTTCTTCAGTTGTATAATTGTGCTGTTTATAATTTTTAAAATCCATCATTACATGAATCTAACTGACTTAGTTGCTTTCTAATCTTTCCAAAAACTTCGTCATTCTCTAGAAATAACACATGACCTTTCTCCAGCATGGCCTCCCTTACAGCTCAGTAAATCTCTCTTTGGATGAACTGTCTAGCTGATTCATCACCACTGTCAAGAGCATCATAATTCACGTTGGCAGAAGCCCATTTATTACATATGTTTTCTCTATAAGGTTCCTCCCAGCCTTCTGTGCTCAAGGCCACTGGATATATCATCACTATGCTTGAAAGTACGTTAAACACACACACACACACACACACACAAGCACATAAAAAATATCTTACAGAAGTGGCACCGAATAGACCCCAAAATTGATGCATATGAGTCTGGAAGGTGAGAGAAGGAGATAAAGTTATACTTCAAATGGCAATGCTGGGGCCACATGACTCAGACTTTTACAGACTTCCCTTGCTCTGTGCAGATGCTCTTGTGAACATAGAAGTCCCACAAATGTTGTCCTGGGCATTACATGTGCACATTAGCAAATAAGTTAACTCACAAATGCAGTATCTATAACTGCATATATTTATAAATATTTGAAACAAGATATTATAAACAATATTTTAAATAACATTGTATGTATGCATATATCTATCATATGTGTGTGGATGTCTATGGAGGTCTGAAGAGGCTATGGGATTTCTGGGAGCTGAAGCTACAGGTGGTTATGAGCTGCCCAATGTGAGGGCTAAGAACTGAACTCAGGTTTTCTGAATGAGAAGCAAGCATTCTCAACTGCTGAGTCATCTGAAATAAGCTATTCCAAAAAAAAAAAAATAACGAGTTGAGCTCATTGAATGGAGGTTGACTGTGACCTAGGGTGCACACACCAAGGACAGAGGGAAACAGATTGCACAAGCTGTGGAGTGGAGGGTGAAGTGTGACCATACATCTCAAATCGAAAATTTCCAAAGGTCTCAAGGACTTCCTCCAATCCACCACTCCACAATGATACTGCAAGTCTGGCTGACTGACTGTAGAGAAGCCGGCACTAAAGACTGCAAACCTGTGAACAGAGACACATACCTGCATACGTGTGAGCATATACCTGTGAACAGAGACACATCAAACCAGGTCAGTCTGTGAACCAGAGGCTGAAATGTGACACATCAAGCCTGCGGCACAGAGTCTCTGAGTGCCTGACTGTCTCAGTCCAGAGAGAGCCACCAGGGAAAGACCCCTTCTTTCCCCCACTAGCGCTGAAGGAATTGCTGACTGCCGCGAGGCAAGCAAGGCCTGGCTGGATACACAGCAGGCAGAGAAACTTGGTATCAGCAGAGGCAGTGGGCAAGGGAATGGAAATGGGTGGACACAGTGGACATGAACACATGAGACTGAAACTGATCCCTGGGCCCTAGTAAGGGTCCCTTCACTGCCTAGGCATGAGAGACATAAACTCGGGATGTAAAATACATAACTCAGCAGAGTTGTGGCAGAACTCAATACAAAAGGCACCTTGTCTAAACTCCACTGGGAATCTGTGTACTCCCAAATC